ACAGGATACATGGATCTGAGAGCCAAGGGGGGAGAGCAAGAATGGCCTCATTTTTTAGCCACTCCCAATGACACACTGGGGAACTTTGTGTTTCACTGCCCAGAACTCTGGGCTGAACAGAGTTAGAGATTCTAGTCTTCAAAGCTTTTCTCCTCTTGCCAGGGGTCACAGCAGTGATCCATTAAAGTGCAAGCTATCTAGTACTAGGGCATATTTAACTTTTTGCATCCAGGGGCCGAAGCAGGAGTAATTGACTGTGATTAGCAGGAAGAGATGGGACTGCTTTTATGTGGTGGAGACAGGAGGAATATATGTGGAATCCTGGTGATCTACTTGAGTGTCTGTTGGTACTTCCTTGCCCAGTGGTAACTGTACATGGATGCATGCAGAAACGCCAGAGTATGTGACAACCAAAGTCTAAGGCCTCTCAGAAACGAATGTTTAGGTGGTATGACCAGGTAAGTCAACAAGATGTGTGCAGGCCATGGCTGAGAGGGGGGTATGGAGTACACAGTGGAGGACAGAATAAGTACCAGAATAGCCCAAAACAAACTGCAATGAGACTGACTATAGTTTTTCCCATTAATCTCCCCTTTCTAAGTTTACCCTTAGCAAGGGGGGTTCACAGGAATCATGGAGGAGCATTATTATCAACTGGTGGATAGTTTGCAGCTGAAGTGCTTTGGGATCCACCACGAAGTTTGCACCAGGCCAAGCTTTTCCTCGCAGTCCTCTCAGACAGTGACTAAGCACAGGAGAAGTACCAGACCTGGGCTGTTCCTGACCAGTTCTGGATTCCTGTAATGGACTTGAGCTCAGAACTCCCCAGTGGCCTGGCTGAGACAGAATTATACTGCAGTCTGGGGCTCTTTCCACTCACTCTTCCTCTCCAGTCTGCTTTCCCAGATTCCAGTGTGCATTCTGATCTGAGTTCCCCTGCCTCTCTTCCTTCCTCTCCTTTTATTCTTTAAAAGGTATTTTTTCTAATCAGCCTCTAGCACAACTAACCCTTTGTTGGTGTTCACTTCTCAGAGGACTGTAACTGACACAGTGTTGTTTTTGAATTCAGCAAAAGAAAATCACACACACACACACACACACACACAACGTGATTAGAATGAATTAAGAAAGATCTTCACTGGGAAAAGTTAGAATATAACCTACCCTTTAGAACTTCTAATAGAACTCTTTCAGAGGTCAAGAATTGATCTGATTTTATTGTCAGCTATTTTTAAAATTCCTCCAAAATAGGTATGAATCTGAGAATAACTCTGGCAGCTGGGTTAAGACCAATCTGATATATGTTGATTTCAAAACTGTAAATATGTCTATTAAGCAGGAATAGATTGAAACCACCACTTGTACTTTGGCCCTAATGGTTCATTCAAGCACCGAACCTTTCTACGCGGTAACTCTGAGAGGAAGGCCCTAATGTGAGGAAATGTACAAGTTCTTAAGATGTAACACATGTGGTAGTATTACATTAGGCAACCAGAAAATTTCCTTACATGACAGAATTCAGATAGGAAGTTTCAAAAAGGAGGCGAGAGATGGTGACAGAAACAATCTTTTAAGGGGGCAGGAAGGAGGACTGGAAAAGAGGGGGGTGGGAAAAGGTGGAAAAGGTGGGAAAAGGTGGAAAAGAGGACTGGAAAAGAGATGCTTAGTGGAAAAGGCACTTACTTAACACAAAGGCACTAGGCTGAGACCAGAAGCGAGCAACACCGTCAAGCCAAAGACGGGGTGCCCTTGGAGAATAGCCTCCACATGTTTCCTGATGTGCAGTTTAACTACCGGACACACACACTGTAACATATTTGTTTGTCGAGAATAAATAAATAAAGCCTAGTTGCCAGAGAGAAACAAAATAAAACATAACCCTGAGAATGTAGTTTTAGGAAGAGAATCATAGTATTTCCTCTCCTCATCCCTTCTTGGCAAAGGCCAAGGAAAAGACATCCTCTGGTTGAAAAGGCTGAGGAGGTTTTGAGGGTGTTCTATTTCATCAAAATCACTAATCATGTTCATTATTTCTAAATCACACAATCTTCTAAAAAATGATGGCACACATAGCTAGAGTAACCTTCCTGATATTGAAATGCCTCACTGTGGTTTTCCATGACCCTGAATAATCTGGCATCATCCTATCCATCCAATCTACCTTCCCCTTTCTTCAATATACCCTGACTACTCATCAGACTGGCCTTAGCACACCACACTCATCTGTGCAGGCGAGGACAAATCCTTTTCTACTCTCTTAGGGTATCTAGTTTGGTTTAAGAATTAAATTGACAGGCAAAACAAGTTTTATTAAAATTTCTTACATGTACATGGAAGCCGAGAAAAAGGGAATAAAGACCCCTCCCCTTCAAAAGAATGATCAAACCTAAATATTTTTATTGTAGGTTGAACAAAGAGAAGCAATTGTGGGAAAGTAAGTAAATATGTGGAGAGGCTAAAAAAGTTATTTTAACAAGCTCTGTTTGTGCAGATTTCCTTCCACTCAGTTCCCCGATTCTCTGTCTGGTGATAAGAATGTCTCCTTTCCTCCAGGGACAGGGAGGGCACCTTCTACATGGAAATTTTATCTCCTGCTTTCAGGAATAAAAAAGGAGTCAGAGTCTTCTTCTTGCATCTGCTGTTTGTCAAGTGACTAGAAGTTAAAAGAATCAATATGCTAGTGCAGATTTTGGGGGGACATGCTGTGACCTCTCTAACCTGTTGCCTTTATTTGTAAGGTCCACCTGTCCCTCTTACTCATTTCTGCCAGCCTCTCAAGTTCTGTCCTTATTCTAGCATTTACTCTGTGCTAAATGTAAGAGCACCTCATGGGGCTCTTGCCATATGCATTACATACGTGTTACTTTCAAAACATGCCCTCTTGTATTGTAAATTTTTATTAAATATATTTGTCTTATCTTCCCAACTAGACTGCAAACTCCTTAATACTTGACTCATTTGGTAAATATCCTCAACTGCAGAATTTTAACACCCCATTATTTTAGATACTGAGACTGGTATGTAGACTGTCAGTCAATGGTCTAGTCACCCCATATGCCAAGAGTATCAGAGTTAATGAGAAGGTTGAAGTATACTCAGATTGAGTGCTTACCATATAATAGGCTTGATTCTAAATACCTTACATATATTAATTTACTTAATTCAGCACATGGGCACCATCCTTCATGGCTTTCTTTTTACTAAGACTCCTATTTAATCCATCCAATTCTATTGGCTCTACCTTCAAAATAGAGCTGGAATCTTCTCACTCACCAAATTCACTGGTACCATTCTGATTCCAGGCCCTACCATTTCTTTCCCAGATTATGGTAATAGCCTCCTAATAGTATTTTCAAGACTGTACAGTATAACCCTTTCGGTTCTAAATCTCATATCTGTGTTCAAAACAATGCAATGGCCACCCACCCACTTCACTCAAAGTAAACTCGTTTATGGCCTATCACATCCTATATGACCTTCTTTGGCCCATCATCACTGATACTTCACCTCCCACTACTCTTGGTCTAGGTCACTCTGTGCTCCAGCCACACTGACTGGCCCTGTTCTAAAAACAAACAAAATAATGCACTGTAGAGGTTCAGTATGAGTCACCCCCAGATATGTTCTGTTGTACAAAGATAACTTTTAAGCTAAAGGCAGCTGTGATCCTGTGGGCTCAACAGAAACTTCTGCCCAGCCCCCTTTAACTACCTAAAAGAATTTGAATTAGGGACCTTGCCCATGATGACAGATTATCAGAGATAACTTTTTCTTACCTATCTTCTCACATATGTCAAGGCAAACTACTAGTTACTGAACAACTGCTGTTCTTAGAGTGCCACAATGACCCTCTGAAGTCCCAAGGTGCCTTACTTCGTTTTTAGCATGACAGGTATACCTCACTTTTCTTTGACCCTGAAACTCACGTGGGGTCTCCAATTCTCATGTATGTGGTGTTCACATATTTAGGTATGCAATTATATTTATTTTCTCTTAATGTTTCACATAGATTTAGATATTAACCCCTGAAAAACTTTCTACCACCACAACCCTTAGGATTTTGGCTCTAGCTTTTTTTCTTCCCTGTAGGGCACATCCCAGTTTTATTTACACAGCTAACTCTCCTCCTTTAAGCTGGTTCAACTCTCACCTTATTAACAATTCCTACCTTGATACTCTCTTTAATTCTGCAATTTGCCCTTCCATCTCCTTCCTGATTCCTCTCAACCCGTTTTAAACTTGTTACCACTTTTTAAAGTACGGTATACTTTTCTTAGCTGTGTATTGTCTGCGTCCCCCCCCCCATTTCCATATAAACTCCATCAGGGGAGTGATCCTTGACTTCATGGGATGTATCCCAAGATCCTAAACCAGTGGCTGGTACGTGAAAGGCACTGAATAAATACTTGGTGAATGAGTGTAGAAGCTAGATTTTCTTTCTGAAAGGCTGCTGTGTTTTGGTGATGAGCCTTAATTGGTTTCTCTGCGTCCACATTACACAAACGTCAAAAACACAGTGAGTCTAGAGGTAACCAGGCTAGCTGCAGATTTAGGTCTCGAGGACAGAGATAAACGCTAAAAAGCTAAACGGTGAAGTCAGTTATCCAGAGTGGCTGATGAAGAGCAAAATTCCTCTCCCTTTGCATATCCATTATTGCTTCAACTCTCAATATGGGTGGCTTTGAACATTCTCATACCTAAACAAATCCATCACCACTGTGCTTGTGCTGTGCGATGCTGTCTTTCCCCTTTTCCTTGTAGCTTCACTGCCCTCATTTAGGTGTTTAGGCCGCGCCTAACCACCAGGTTTTCTGAGCCGGGATATCTCTGATCCAGGGACAAGGTACCAAATACGGCGTGTCCTCCGCTGCCAGGTGTTCCTTAGACAGCCGCAGTGGTCCGATAGCCTGTCCTGGAACAGGCAGCAGAGGGAACACCTGCGCGAGGCCCCTCTGTGGATCAACCAGGGCGCGGTTCCGATGACGTCACGGACCCCGCCCACCGCACGCACGCGCACTGCGCCCAGCATGAGGGTCGCGGCTCTGATCAGGTAAAGTGGCAAATGTGCCGCCCTCTTCTTCCCCGATCATCCTGCAGTCTGTTTCTGCTGAAGGATGGGAAGTGCCGCTGCTGTTGGCACTGCCGCTGGCGCCGCTACTAGCGGCCTAAGGCGGTCTGTGCAGGAGACACGTGTCGGGGTTTATACTGCCCTTCCGGACCAAAGGAAGAGGCGGAGCGTTTGGGCTACTGCTGGTCCAAGCTTGTTTCTTGGCCTCGGGCTCTGGTCCCGCCTCTTTGCGGGCCTCCGCCCCTCTGGTCTGGAGATCAAACTTGGATTCGCATTGGATTTACCTGGGGAACTTTAAAAACCACTGATGCTTGGGTCTTATCGTCAGAACGCTGGTTTAATTATCCTGACGCACTCCCGGGTCTGATTCTTAAAAGTTGTGATGATGGGCAGCGGAGTTTGATAGCCTCGGCTTTATTTTACTCAGCTACCCCAGCCCTTTCTTTCTGGCTTTTTTTTTTTTTTTAACCGCTCTAAACTGTTAATATCATGCCCCTTACTACATAAATCCACCTCTCCCTCACCTGCCTCCGCGGTGTGCCTTGATTGCTTATGATAGGGATGTAAACCTGACGCTCAAGGACAGAGATGTAATTGTACCTGTTTTATCCTAGATTTGGTTGCTGTTGCTTCAGACACATTTCCTTCTAGGGTGACCTTATGGTAATATTTCACATTACAAAAGGAGTTTAAAAGTTATGTAACCCATCATATTTAGGTGTCTAAAGTAAGTCCTTTGGCAACCAAAGACAGACCAATAAAAGTGTTTCCATACTCAGTCTGTAAACTGAAGCAAAAGGGAACTCTATTAACATTAAAAAGAGAATTTAGTCTACTTGAATTTTGGAGACATTTGGATTTCCGGAGTGTCTGAGCACATTGCAGCCATGCGTTTTTCTTTGTAAACCCATTGAAGATTTAATGTTATTGTTCAATGCCCTAGGTAATTGCCACTGCTAAGGTCTTGACATGACACCCTTTCTGGAGTGACTGGGATATCCCTGTTTCTTTCATTTCAGTGCCATTTTTTAAGTGACTAATGTCAAAAAGTACCTTTATTCAGTGATTTTTTTTCTGTAAAGTGAATGATTAAGCTTTGAACATTGTGGTCTTCATTTGATCTAGACAGATAAGAATTAAAATTAGTCAGGAAATAAATAATTTCACATCCAAATGCAGTTTGCCAGAAGTTTAAGCATTTAAAGACACACTAACTGAAGATTCAGAAATGTGAGAGGGAAGAAGATTGATGTAATTCATTACACTAAATATTCTGTAATGTGTGTGCATTACTTTTATAATAAAGCAAATTACAAAAGGCATTGTTGGAAAATTCTTGCTAAACTGTAAGAACTGTATAAATGTTAGGAGGCATGCTATAGATGTGAATACATAACTCCATAGATATGAATATGAATACCTACGTACTACCTATATATGTGTTTATATGCACATATGCTTGAATATGTGCAGAGTGAAATACAGTGAACCTACTGTAGTTGCAATATATCGTGTGGGTGTGTGTACTAAACTGAGAGGATGTATGTGTGTGTGTGTTTTAGTGAATAGGTGAAACCATGATCCTTACATTTCATTAGACCATGAAAAACATTATTTTTCTAATACACTAAAGATTTTATTGAATTTTAGAGTTGAATGACACCTTGAGGATTAGCTAGGCCATTCTCTAATTTCATAATGAAATATGTGAACACCAACACTGAGTGATTCAACTTAGTTTCCCAGAGTCAGAAACTAAAATTCTCATCTTCCATTGGACTTCTCACATACCATATTCTAATGTACTTTGTGACATTTCAGGAGGTAAGATGCTCTGTATTTCCCTAACTTCTTTGACCTTGAAAACTGTTATTCTTAGAGTACCCGTTAGAAGTGTTCCACAGAACACAATTTGGTAAATACTATTTTAAAACCATATTTAAAAGCATATTTTAAAATAAGTTACAAGGCTAAGTTCTGACTGAGGATGTATATTCTTTAATCTTTAATATTGTAAGAAATTAGAATTGTGCAGGTATACCCTTTAATCTTAAATATTCTATATATCCTAAAGAGTGAGTTCATTTTGTCCTACAGAAACAGAGTAGTGATGTTCAACAGAAAAGCTGTGGAAGATGGGTTTATGGCAATATCGGAATCTAAGGAAAGGGAGTGTGATGTGTAACTTCACTTTACCCCTGCAGTCAGTCTCTCCCCTTGAGAAGTTCTGGAGTGACAGGTGTTACTGATCAGAATGTGGTCGAGGCAGACAGTGTTGGGAACTAAGAAGGCCAGCTTCTAGAATAAAAAGTCAGTCTGGGGGTGGAATCAGTAGGTCTAAACATTCCCTGAGTGTACATTTTCAGCTCTCGAGTAAAAATTGTAAAGAGGGCAAACAAAGGGAAGAGGTGCAATAATAAAAGAATGGAGGAAACGTGTGGTGGGAAACAGTACAGCAGAGGTGTCCAACTCATTTTCACTGGGGGCCACATCAGCCTCGCTGTCGTCTTCAAAGGGCTGGATGTAATTATTTCAACTCCTTAACAGTTAAGGAGTAGTTACATTTATGCAGTCCTAAAATTATTTCAGCTCTTGGAAGGCAATGGCAAGGCTGATGTGGCCCCGAGAGAAAATGAGTTGAACACCCCTGCAGTAGAGTATAGAACCCAAATAGCATAGTTTGCCATTTAACCTTCTTATAGGTGTAGTACCACTTAACTAACTGATTTGCTTCTCTATCTAGGCAGATATGTTATCAGAATTTGTAAATTCCTTTCAATCTATTCATTAGATTTGTGCTCAGACCTTTTGCTGCCATCATATAGGGGTGGCTGAAAGCTGACGTACTGATAGATTGTACTGATGTTTAACTTACTGCTTTAGTTCAACATTTTGCTCTCTATCTCTGCAGAATTTGAACCTACCAGTTATGTCATACTTTGTCATTAGATTGGATCTCCAATTTTTATTTATTTATTTATTTTTAGAGGGGAAGGGAAGGAGAGAGGGAGAGAAATATCAGTGTATGGTTGCCTCTGGTGCATCCCCTGCTGGGAACTAGCCTGCAACCCAGACATGTGCCCTGACTGGGAATTGAACCACATTCATTTGGTTCGCAGGCCCGCACTGAATCCACTGAACTACACCAGCCAGGACTTGGATCTCAAATTTTTAATTTGGTTCTTTAATTGGTGATGGAGTCCAGTTGTTTTATTTCTTACAGTGGAACCCATGCTTTTCTGCTTTTCCGTAAGAGAATTCCATCTAAGGAGTCTATATAGTAAATATTCAGCTGGAATGTAAACTTAAATCATTTTACTTGCAAAACACTTTGTATATTAAGTAAAGCTATTGTATTATCACAAATCAAAGAGTTATCAGCAAAGAGTCCAGCAAAGCGAAAGGTTGCCAGTTTGATTCCTGGTCAGCACACATGCCTGGGATTTGGGTTCTGTCCCTGTTCAGAGTGCACACCAGTGGCAAACGACTGATGTTTCTCTCCCTCCTTTCCCCTTCTAAAAATAAATAGAACTGTCTTTTAAAAAAGAAATGTAGTGTAGTCTCAAATATTCTGAAAAGCAGAATAAATAATGTGTTCTATTTTGATAGCTAATGATTCTGTGTTGAATGCTGGTAGGTAACCAGTACTTATCTCTGTTTTTCAGTGGAGGGAAGGACAGCTGTTACAATATGATGCAGTGCGTTGCTGCCGGGCATCAGATCGTCGCTTTAGCAAATCTAAGGCCACCTGAAAACCAGCGTAAGTGTTAAACTTTACTGGAAATTCTCAAAGTGACTGAAAATCCAACTTTGTTACTGTATTCTATTGTATACCATATGCAAAAGCATTAAAGGAATGAATATATCTTTAGCACCTATTAGATGATAAGTTCAATGCTAAGGTGTTTTCAATTATAATCTCTTTTAATCCTTCCAAGAGCTCCTGGAGCATATTATTCAACAGGGATACTGAGGCTCAGAGTTTTATAAACTTGTCCAAGGTAAAATAGCTAGAACAAACTTGCGGAACTGAGACCTGAACTCTCAATTCGGAGTGTACCACCATTCCACCACAATACATTTCCAAGTGCTGCAGGGAATACGCAGGTAAATAAAATGGAGCCTCTAGGAGCATGGGAAGAGAGACATAGATTGATAAATAATATGGGCTTTATTGTTAAAAAGATCCAGTTTAGCCATCTTAGATGTGAGCTAAATGTGTGAGATGTAATTCACTTTTAGTTTTTGTCTGTGGTAACAACAGCAGCCATAAATAATCCACAGACCTCATTCTAGCTATTTTTTTCAAATTACCAATGAACTTCCTTAAATTAGAACTTTTTCCCCCTCCGTGTCCATGTCTGTGTCTAAATTTCCTTCTTAAAAATGTTTTTGAATTAATCATTTATTTATTTTTAGAGAGAAGAGAAGGGAGAGGGAGAAAAACATCCCTGTGTGGTTGCCTCTCGTGCACCCCCTACTGGGGAGCTGGCCCACAAACCCAGGCATATGCCCTGATTGGGAATTGAACTGGCAGCTCTTTGGCTCGCAGGCTGGTGTTGAGGTCCAAAACAGATGTTGAAAAGGGACAATCCCGAAGGAGCCCCGGATAAAGTTAGGCTGGCCAGGAACTAAAGTTAGGCTGACCAGGAGCAGGGAAATTTTTACTTCCTAAAAGGGCTAACCACCAACTACACAAAGAGCCTTTTGAATTTCCCTAATAAGCCAATGGCAATCAGCTGTTTAGAGCTAGCCACTAGCTAACAGCTGCATCTGCTTCTGTTCAAAGCTTGCTTGCATACCCCTATATAAGGACATAGCTGTAAGCGCCGGCACGGCTCTCATCTGCAGCTCTCCTGAGCATAGTGTCCTCGGACACTCAGAGAGCTTGCCCCTGGGCAGGTAAAACTTGGCCAATAAAGTAACATCTTGAAAATTCTGAAAGTCTCCGAACCTCTGTTTCTCGTGACGCGGATGCAACAGCTGGTACTCAATCTACTGAGCCACACCAGCCAGGGCTGAATTTTCTTTTTTAATAAGGACACTGGTTATATTGGACAAAGGGTTTACCCTAATCACTTCATCTTAACTAATTACATCTGCAGATCCTATATCCAAATAAGGTCACATTTTGAAGTACTGGATATTAGGACTTCAAGGTAAGAATTTGGGAGGGATACATTCAGCTTCAGTAGTATCTTTTGTTAATTGAGGTATAGTTGACATTTTGCCTTGCAGTCATTTTAGGTGCATAGCATAATGATTTAGCGTTTAGTGATTTAGCATCTCGCTATAGTGAGATGATTACCACAAGTTTGGTTAATGTCCATCACCACACGTAGTTACAGTTTCTTTCCCAATTAAAACTTTTAAAAAAGTAATCACCAATATTTTAACTGCTAAAATATAATAGGGAGAGATTAATACTTATCCAAGTTTATATGTTACTACTTCTCCATATAGCTATTCTAGTAAAATCTTTTTCATTCTCTTTGCACATTTTATTTTAAGACCCCACGCTTTTTCTCTACTGTTATTTTTGGATAAATTAAGTGAGCAGTATATATGAAAACCCTAATCATTGTTCGAAACAATGGCATGAAACAGACATCCAGTAAATGCAGTTGAATCTGAAGGTGGCTCCAAATCAGTTAGTTAGCCCTCCCTTCCTCTCTCCCTCCCTTCCTTCCTCAAATCTGTCCATCTATTGCATTTTTAAATAATATTTTATAGTTGTTTTCTGTTTATTTTGTCTTGCCTTTTAAACCTATTTATTTTGTCTTGCCTTTTAAACCCAGATAGATTGCTTGCAAAGCCTCTTCAGAAGAAAGGTCATATCTTCTCTGTTCCTTTAATTGTTCCACAGCACTTGGGACAGCTTGATGCCTCTGGTAGGCATTAACTCAGTTTCGTGGTGGACAGATGAATCATGAAATAGCTAGAATTAGCCCTGGAGTAGACAGGAGTTACAGCCAGCAGTTATTTGTCTGAGATTTAAATTTTCTTTCCTTCTGTGATTAAGACCATGTGATGCTGAAAGTGAAGGGAGAAGATGGAGATTGAGGACGTTTTATGGGAAGAAATAGAACAGGTTCTACAGAGGGTCAGGATAAACATACGCTCTAGGATTTTCTACTGGGGTTCCCATGCGGAATAACAATGGCCTTTTAGAAGTGAGCTGTTTTGAAAATAGCCTCCTATTTCTATTCTCTAAATAAGAAAGAGAAAACGCTGACCGAGGGTGAGTGGGAACTGCACTGTAACTTCTGTTTTATAAAGGAAGGAGCAGATTTTTTTGGCTGGGTATGTTCTGTTACCAAAGGAAAGCGACTCCTCTCTCCCTGGTGGTCAGTTGGGCAAGTGGGTTTTTTTTTTAACCTTTCTATCTTGAAGGGTCTTGGTATTTAAAAAGCAGATATTTATATAATATATACTTGATCTAATCATGGAGTTTCTATTTTGTCTTCAACTTTTCTGTGTGAATTGTTATAGTTACCTTGTCCTGAATCCTTATTGTACAATCGTCCATGGGTTACTGGTTTACTGGCAGGGTGGGTAAGATGACAAGCAAGTTATACTTTTATATTTCAGTGGAATGGAGACATTTATTTACAATATTGTTAGAAAAAACAATAGTAAATGGAATTGGAATGTTATGAAGTAAAAGTTGGAAAGAGTCAGCTGAAACTATAGTAATGTCATGAAAGGGGATAGATGGCTGTGGGTTTGGAGGTGGAGAGGGTTTAACTAATCTTTATTTAAAGTCAGCAGGAAGTTGGTGATTATCGAATGATTCATGGATTGACTTAATTTCCGCCCAAACATGTTGCAAAAGGGCCCTTAATGAGGAGTGACTGGTAGAGGTGACTCCAGTGAGAAGCCGATTAGAGGGAATTCATGGCACTGTGTTTTCAGTAGGTCGTCTGCAAAGGAATCATCCCCATCAATGAGGATAATGTGAAGTCGGCATAAAATTCATGAAACCATCTCTTTAGATTTGTAGTAGGAACTTTTGTGGCATGTTAATTGAGGTACTTCAGGCAACAGTGGAGCCTTTTGGTTTTATTTGATCTCGTACTATTGGTGCGATGTGGCTTCCATTAATAAAAGTTACAGTGTGGTTAGGACTGAATGGAGCCTTAAAGGAAAACGGCCTTCTAGAAGTCAGTAAGATGTTTCAGTTATTGTGTTCACGTCAGGAAGTTTCTTGCTAAGAAGCTCAAAGTTCTTTATATATATTAATTTGATTGTCAATATTTTTAACAACTGAAACATTTAAAGATTCAGTCTAAGTTTGAGATGAGGGTAGGCAGGAAATTTTTTCAGTAGCTTTGGTTATATGTCTACTTCCTACTGAGAAATACAACCTGTGGTTGTGTTACTAATTAGCTTAAGTTATGTTTCTGTACACCTTTGTAACTGCTTTAACAATATTGAATTTATATATGCTAATATGTTGTGTTGAAATCCTGAATATAAAACATAGCAAGAGCATCTGAATTTTTCACAAATGTTTGTTACTTATTAACTAAGTAGATATTTAATTGGGAAAGATTTTCTGCTACAACTTGATGATTTTGTGAACAACCTTGAATGAATTAAACATATAATAAAATCTCTAATTGAATAATTAAATTTATTGGCTAAAGTGTTCTTTAAACATGTATATAGTTTAAAATTTTTTATGTGTAATTGTATTTGTAATTAGCAGTAGAGATGACTAATACTAATGTGAACTCGATACAACTGAGGATAAATGTGTAACTCATGTTATTTTACTTCGTGCAGAGAGATATAGTGTAGTAGGCTTTTAAATTGTATGTTAACTGCTCTCCAAGCAGTAAAATGTAGATGGACTTTCAAATCCACTTTTTTTTCATCCCGTTTTACTGATTGTTTCCACTTGAATTGTTGCAGTGGGGTCAGATGAGCTGGATAGCTACATGTATCAAACAGTGGGTCACCATGCCATTGATTTGTATGCGGAAGCAATGGCTCTTCCCCTGTACCGCCGGACCATAAGAGGAAGGAGTGTGGATACAGGACGAGTATACACCGAATGCGAAGGTGATGAGGTTGAAGACCTCTATGAGCTCTTGAAACTTGTTAAGGTATGCAGAGTGACCAATTACATTTATTGACCTATTTACTGATAAAAATATTGTAACTGCTAGTAGGCCAACTATTCTATGAAAGGATTTTTTTAATTGAAAATGAAATCATTACTATGCCTTTGTATTAAATAGTATTTAAAAATAAAACTTTTGATATAGTTTGGCACTGAGGATTGTCAAATGATATTTAACTCAGTTTTTTTTCTTTAGCATTTTGAAGCTAATGACCTTTTTAGCAAATGCTTTTTGAATACACACTGTGTACTTGATACATAGTTCTAGGAACTGGGGAATGGGACAATGAACAGATCAGGCATAGTTCTGTTCTGCCGGAGCTTACTTTCCAGTGGAGGGAGATAGGCAATAAAAAGCAAGCAAATAAATGCTGTGCTTGGGGGTGAAGAGTACCAGGAAAGGGAACGAAGCAGAGTCAAGGTCATAGGCACGACAGCAGGGAGTGGCCAAGCAAGCCTTTTTTTTTTTTAGGTCATTGTTCTTCATTTTCTTTTTTTTTTTTTAATATATTTTTTATTTTATTGATTATGCCATTACATTTGTTATATTCCCCCCCTTCATTCCCCTCCACCCTGCACACCCTTCCCCCACCATTCCCCCCCTTTAGTTTATGACCACGTGTCTCAAGTTCTTTAGATTTTATATTTCCCCTACTATTCTTACCCTCCCCCCATCTATTTTCTATCTACTGTCTATGCTACTTATTTTCTGTACCTTCTCCCCCCTTCTCCTTCTCCCACTTTCCTATTGCTAACCCTCCATGTGATCTTCATTTCTATGTTTCTGCTCCTGATCTAGCTGTCCTCTTGCTTTTGTTTTAGGTGTGGTTCTTAATAACTCTGAGTTTGCTGTCCTTTCACCGTTCATCTTTTTTATCTTCTTTTTCTTAGGTGAGTCCCTTTAACATTTCATATAATAAGGGCTTGGTGATGATGAACTCCTTGAATTTGATCTTATCTGAGAAGCACTTTATCTGTCCTTCCATTCTAAATGAAAGCTTTGCTGGATAGAGCTTATACACAGGGACTTAAGTATTTAATTCAAACCTCTTCTACTAAGTTTAAACAAGGTTTCCTTACTCACTTTTTTAGGCCTATTTAATACGGCGAAATTTAAATAGGCCTAAAAAAAGTGAGTAAGGAAACCTTGTTTAAACTTAGTAGAAGAGGTTTGAATTAAATACTTAAGTCCATGTATATAAGACTTTGGCAGCCATGGTGCATTCATTGTTTGTTTCTTTAGAAGGAAAATTTAGGAAGAAAGTGGGGGGGTGTTCATTAATGGAGATTATCTTCTCGTTGGCAGCCAAGTATTTGAATACAGCTTAGTATTCTTCTTAAGGATGAATTTTATTCAATCAATTACAGTCAATTCATAAGTATATTGAATGAAATAGAGAATTTAAATCAATATTTCCTGGATGACTTTTTCTTTTCTTTCTTTTTTTTTTTTCCAAAAGAAATGACAATTTCTGTCTCTTCTTTTACCAAGGGACACTGAATTTCACTTTTTTAATCTTCAGAGGAGTTCAGCTTTTAAGAAATTAGTCATGAACCCATGTCATATAAATTTGCCTGTGCCAAATAACTACTTCAATGCTACACTTTAAATTTGATATGATCAGAGCTTAGTAGCAAGTAAGGATTTTGATTAAAATATATATAAAGTATTTAATTTCATTGAATTTTCTTGACTGAAATATTTTTTATTTTGTATGTCACAACATTTTCATTTTTATTCTTTAAAACAGAAGCTGATAGGGGAAACAATTAGAATAATTCCATAATTTGCTGTCTAGTTTCTGGATAGCATAGAATACTTTTCAAAGCAAATTACAGAGATCTGGTTTCTTCCTTTTGGGAAGATACAAGCTAATAAAAACTATTTTGGTTATTAAACAAGGGGGAAAGCATTCGAGCTTCACTTTTTTTAATCTTTACCTGAGGACATGCTTATGGATTTTGGAGAGAGGGGAAAGGAGGGAGAGAGAGCGGAAGAGAAATGTCAGTGTGAGAGAGAAGCATTGATTGGTTGCCCCTCACACTGACTCCTGTCATAGACCGAACTTGCAACCTAGGCGTGTGCTCTGACCGCAGCTGGAACCCCCAGCCTTTTGGTTTATGGGATGATACTCTAGCCAATTAAACCAGGGCAAGAGTCCCACTACTAATAGTCTTCTCTTCATACAGGAACTGATATCTTGACAGTGTGCACTTTGAGGTATGAAATAGTGGAAATTTTGCATTTTCAAAATTCATTTCTCAGCATATAAAGAAATTGACTATTAAGTTTTAGCATAAACCAGTATTACAAAATGGTGAGGCTCAGAGAAGTAATTGGATCGCTTAAAAGTCACTGATAACTGATAATTTTGGAGAAGCTTTGTGATAATAACACCCTTCTAAGAAAGGGAAAGATAATAAATTACTAAATCAGTTTAATTAAAAATTATCAGATTAGTAGTAATTAAGAAAAAATTTCCCTTTCAATCCATGCTGTCTTTGGAGAAATGGATGCTTGCCATTATCTTTTATAACAGTCAGTTGTGACATATATTAATGCTAATGTTAAATCTTGACAACTTCTGCTTTGGAAGTTTGTACATGTTAATTATAACTATAGTTGAAAGAGATATTATCAAGTTGTCTGGGAGTAAATAGTTTCTTCTTTATCTGTGTAGGGATGTTAATTTTCCTTTGGGATATTTTAAGGACATCAATATCAGAAATACATTGTTTTTGGAAAAGAGATTGTATAACCAAGCTTTAATAGTTAAATCCGTATATGAAACACTGGTGCAAAGATTCCAACAGAGGTCTTACATATTCTAATGAGTAATTGAATAATTATGGGAAAAGAATGAATCTAGAAGACCTGTAACTCTTCAAGTTAATCTTCACTTGTAAGAAAAATGTTGAACTGCTTCTTTTAATCCTTTGATTATTAATGAAACATTGAAAGCACTTTGATTCATTTTAATTTTAAACATTTATTTGCAACAGGCTGCAATTTTGTGACTTTCACATTTAGGTCAGTCTTCAGTTTTTGTAGTTCTTCCCCCCACCCTCAAATATTAGAGCTAATTTCTGAGTAGGAGATGTTCCTTCTTGTGAAGAGTTTAATTGACTAATTACTGAAAAGAAGTAGGAAAGGTTTGGAAGAATTTACAGAGTTAAAAATTTCCTAACTTTTGTAAAAGTATGAAAACTCCTAAACTGTAATAAGCCTTCATATCTCATAGAACAGGCGATTATGATACATATACTATAAGCTGTTTGTAGTATATGTATCATTAAAGTATCATACACTACAGACCACTGTTTGTAGTTTATGTATCATAAAAGCTAGCTCATATAGCTAGCTTTTATTCTTTAGAATTTCTTTAATATTAAAATGTCACTATGGTTCTCATCTGGAATAATTTGGTACATAGATAACGTATATTATTTTCTGACAATATAGTAATTTTCACATTCTATGTGTGTTTTTAGGTCACATAAGCAATGTAGGAAGATACCTGTAAACATCATATCTTTCAGAGCATATTTAAGGATCAATATATTCTTTCTCCACTGGTTTGAGTGCCCCCCCTTTTTAAAAAAGATTTTATTTATTTAATTTTAGATATGGGAAGGGAGGGAGAAAGAAAGAGAGGGAGAGAAACATCAGTGTGTGGTTGCCTCCCACTCACCCCCTAGTGGGGACCTGGCCCGGAACCCAGGCATGTGCCCTGGACTGGAAATTGAACTCATGAACCCTGGCCCTTAGGTTCTCAGGCCAGCACTCAGTCCACTGAGTCATACCAGCCAGGGCTGGAGCCACTTATTAATAGATCTGCTATCTTTATCTTTTTGGTTTATTCCCTTATTTAAATGGAATTTATCTTTACGAAATTTCCTTAGAAAAGGTACTTTCAAATCCTCATATTTTGAAATGTTCCTATTCTGTCCTCACATTTAATCTAAGCATTGGTTGAATTTGAAATTCTATATTGAAAGTCATTCTTCCTCAAATCAGTGACAGCATTGCTTTATGGTACTCTAGCATTTTGCTGATGAGAAGTGTGATGCTTTTTAACTGACCCACTTTTTTCTTTCCGTGAACTTATATGAATGCCTTGATGCTCACTGTACTAAAATGTTACCCCAATGCATTGGATATTGAAGGTTGCTTCCCCTGCATCCCTTCCACATTTTCCTGCTGAGTGACAGCATATCTCTGTCCTCTTTCCCTTCATGTTGGTTCAGGGATGGCATTAATCCGATTGAAAGCCAGTGACAATATGGCATTCCCCTGGTCATAGTGATTGGATCAGGGATGGTTTTGTTAACCTACATTAGACCAAAATAGAATGCAGTCTAGAGTGGTGGATGGTTGGCAGAAGATAAGCTCTTTCTCCTGTACAGAGGGCTGTGTGGATGTGAGGCCTAGAGCTGCTGTGCCTTTTTCTCCCCCTTGAGGGAAGCGTGCCTCATTTCAAATATGACCCAAAAAATGGCAGAGCCAATAGAATTGCACTGTGAGGATAGCTCTGAGAAATGCTCTCCCTTTATTGGTTTGTAATTCGCTCCTCTAGACTTTCTGTATTCCCTTTTTCTGGTATTCTCACTATTAGATGTTAGACTGCCTAGAATGAAACTTCCTGTCTCTTGTCTTGTTTCACATATTTTACTTTAGCCATCATGTATTCAATAGCCAATAACTTGTTTATGAATTCTCTCTGTTTTTAAAAATAACAACCTGTGTAATCCTTCTATGGTAAAACATGTCTAACATCCTTTTTGAAATACAGAGTAGAGATTTTTAAACATTTTACATTCCCTGAAATATTAATGTTTTCTTTGTGGTCTTTTTACTTATGTTTTGTTTTCTTTCATATTGTAGGATTATCTCAAATTTCTCGATTGCTGGTTGTGAAGACTTTTGTCTTTAGAATTTTTCAGCCTCGTATCTGACATTTGGTACACCTAGAGTTCAGGATA